TTCACGCTGACTTGAAGGTTGGTAGTTGGATTCCCAGAGGTCAGAGCGTCTTCTGCAGGTACAAAACGTCTGCGGCTGTGACTAAAGAAGAGGCTAACAAAACCAAAAGATTTCCCAATGAATATTAAATCAATTTTTCTCTTTGTCTAAAAAACACATTCATGATTCCACCTCCCTCCTTCGTCCTTGTAGTTTTGCATGAGTCACTGAAGATTGTGGGCGAACGCGGCGCAATTTACGGCTCTATACTTTGAGCTTGGAGGGCAAACAGTGTACGAAAACAGCTTCATTGCGAATTCATTGTTTTCCAAAATATGATTCATCTCTTTCTGTTAGAATCAGATAAAAAGGCCACACTTCTATTAGAGTCAGGTTAGTGTCTTTGGCATTTGGAGTAAAAAAAAAAAACACATTGGGAAAAACTCGCAAAAAGCTTTAAAGTGCAGCATGAGATCGGGGTTGTCAAAAGCAGCGGTTCTCAAACTCATTTTAGTCTACATTTGGGTCCTGCTTTGGTTTAGATCTGGTTCAGAACTGCTATTTATTAATTTAGCCCTAGTTTAGATCTAGAAAAGTCCTTTTTAAGACCAACGAGGTTCACTTGGTCTTCCGATTATTTCCGTTATTAGGTTCTTTTTTCAGACCAAGAGTTTGTTTTCGTACCTGACAGTTTCGCGGTCTTCCTCAGAGTGGTCACGTGTGTCGCTCAGCTTATTTATTTAGGTTTTGCCGCTGTCTTCCTGCCGGTAAAGACAGGACGACAGCGCCACCTGCAGTCCGACTTCCTCAGGACAGTATCCCAGGTGTGTGAGAGTAAAAAAGTAACCGTCAGGTATGAAAACAAACCCTTGGTCTGAAAAAAGAACCTAATAACAAAGTCCTTTTTTAGACCTGATGGCACTTGGTTGGAAAAGTTTGAGAGGTCAAAAGTATTGAAAATGAGATACTAATTGACACGAAAACCAGTATCGAAACTATTGTAGATCCTCATTTGAGCAGGTACCAATACTAAAAAAAGTCACATTCACAGGACAGAAATTAACTTTTTCTGAACAGCTTTAGAATGAGGTGCACTGTGCAACTTTTGGGGTGGAGGGTTGGCCACGTGTTTGTCTCCATGGAGATGATATTGCTTTTCCTGGTATATTCCATAGTATGACAATAAACTTAAATCTTACATTTAACGGGAGATTTAAGGATTGATTATCGATTAATCATTCATGTTTTTATATTAAAATGATCATTATTATTATTATTATTACTGTCTGCACTACTAATCTGCATAAATAAATTCAACTTTACGACATATAAACCGTAACCACTCAAGAGCCACATCAGCCCGTTTGACATTATAATGTGTTTAATGCATTTTTGCGCAACTCTCACAGAAACGAAACTTAAAACAACGACAACAAAAACAGCTCTTGTGATGCAGTTCAACTTCTGTCAGACTAAAGGACATGACTTAGTGGAATACAGGTTAGTGTGACCATATTTGCGTTTGTCAAAACCAGGACAGCGTACGGGGGGTGGGGCCTCGTCATTGACATCGAGCGACTCTCACCTGGTAAAGCTTTTTAATGTTTTTCGGTGTCCTGGTGCTTTGAGGTCCCTGGCACCACCACTGGACACCGAAACTTACGTGCTGCTTTGTGCACATGGCCTCACACTTGTTTCGACCGGGACGAAAAGTGGGGGATTTCTGGTACAAGTCATCGTTACATACGCATTTGTGCTTCGACGTGTTACAGGCTGACCGGCTGTTTGTGTCTGTTCGCTCCTTCTGATGCACAGAGAGCTACGAGAGCGGCTCAGTTTAATGGCCCAATGAAAGGCAATGAAAACCCGAACATTTGCATCACGTTTGGTCACCCTACGCCACACACAGCAACCTACATTCGGTTTGTCGATTAAAAATTTATGTAATTGACGAAATTCTTAAAGGTTGTATAGAGGATTTTCCAAGGAACGAGAAATCCAGCGACTGTTTGTCCTTTTTCAAATGTTGCGCATGTGTGAAACCACCCCCCCCCCCCTACAGCTCCTACGTAGAAACGCCTCCTCCCTCCTCCTCTTTACGCCAGAAACAGGTTTGTTTACAGCCGGTGCACTGCACATGACTTGTAAACAACTAACTACAGTGTTGGTTAGGCAAGACGGAGAAGTGAGGAGCGGGGGGAGAGGAGAGGAGAGAGGAGAGAGGAGAGGGGAGCGGTGCACGGAGATTCCGTGCCCGGCGAAGTGAGGAGCAGGGGAAGAGTGGATCGGGCAGCGGGGAGAGGAGCAGGAAAGGGGTGCAGAGAAGGTTGCGCGGAGATTCAGTGCGAATGAACTAGCTACAACACGCAGCAGCAAGCGGACTCTTTCTTTGCCTTGAAAATGACGTTTTCAGACATAGGATATCGCTTTCGTGTCCTGAAAAACATTTGTCTAACTCTTGGAAATAAAGTACGTTTTCATAATAAGCAGAAGTTTTCTGTCCAGGAGTAATTTGTGGACCAGTGCGTCAGTCTTTAGACCCTGCGTCTGCTTCAGTTGCGCCATCGCTGGAATGAATCTCCAAGAATCACCTTAGTTTGGCTTCGCTGCTTTTCCCCTTGTCTTCTTCTTTCAGCGACCTCAAAAACGGACTTTCTTTTGCAGCTAACTGCTCCTGGATTCTTCTCGCCATTGCAACAAACTTTGTGCGAACTGCGAGGAAGATATAGGTCAAAAAAAGCCGCTAAGAACTGTTGCGTTGGTGGAGGAGTAAACAGCGTCTGTGCGTCTTGCGTCTGTGGACTGCGTGACAGTCGTACGTAAACCACGTACCGGCGGCGCGCAGGCAAGTCAGTTACGCTAGAAACGTAGGGAGTTTGATTGACAGCCTGTCAGCTAACAGATAACGAGGCAGTGTCGTTATCTATTGGCAAATGTTTAGCCCCACCACGTCCAGAGTTGATCAATTTTTATTCTCTTTTTTTTGGTCATCATAATTACAAGGCTACTGCACTTCTATAATGCTATCATTGACAACTTGAAACAAAAACAAATCCTCCATACAACCTTTAATGATCAATTATCGATTAATCGACTAATCATGCCCAACCCTAAACTGTACCTCATTTTCGGCTTACCATGGCGCTTATATTGACAAAATTTCTAGCGACCACTAAAATTAGTAGCTCTCTGGAATTTTTGTTTTACAAAAAGTAGCTCACAGGAGGGAAAAAGGCTGGAGATCCCTGGTCTAAATGAAAGGCACTTCTGATAAAATATTTTGTCATTTTCAATCACAAGCGTTCTCGTGTACACAGACCCTTAATGTCATACTGTGGAACATTCCAGGCAAAGCAAAAACACAAGGAAACAAGCTGGAAATCACACCGTGCACCTTTAATGTTGAAAATCACATCACCTATCGTCTAAAGGAAGTGTTTTTTTGTTTTTATCAGGGTATCGTGTATTTTTAGTATCGAAATAGAGTTTGAAGTTTCAGTCCCTTGACAATACGAGTCTGATGTCCCCCCCTGGCACTAAATCAACACAAACCAGACTTATACTAGTACACTTTGTTTTTGTGTGTTTGAACTGTGCTTAAATGAGCTCCCTGGATTCCCCCTGGAGCTGATCCACTTACACGGGTTACAGAGGGGAGATCCCAAAGAGCAGTGATAAGTAGTGTTCATTCAGTGTAAATGTGTCCTGGGGCAGTGCTGGGGGGCCCACCCGGAGACCACGAAAGAAACTCAAAATGAGACACAGAAACGAGCCCCAGGACAGCGGAGGAGAGGAAAAGTATGCTAATGTTAATGAGGCACTGCTTTCTGGAGGTACAGTAGAAAGATGTTTTTTTGGGTTTTTTTTGGATTCACGGATTAAAGCTAACATCTGTAATTAGACTGGCAGCTCATGTTTTGTTGTATTCTCACATGCCACCACTAGATGTCACCTATGTTACTGCTGTCGGACAGGGCTCCAGCTTTGGCTTGACAGAAGAAGACCAGAAGAAAACCAGCACGAGTCTGAACCAAAGACTGTAAATTGACATCCTGAATAAGAAGTGTTCAGGGAGAGGTCAGTCTGTACGAAATCAGCCGTTTTCAAGGAATCTCCCCTATGAGCCATCTCAGATTTGGCTGAAAAAAATTCTAAAAATTTGTAAAAATCACCAAATGAAAGAATTTCACATTTTAGCTCAATCCCTTGAGTGGTTCCTGAGTTATGGCCCATTGAAATTTTGGGGACTTGTTCACTTTTTAGTAGATGTTTTTATTACTTTAAACTAATCAGAATATGCCAACATTCCTCTGGTAAAAAAAAAAAAAATTATCAACATCTAACTGTGCCCACATGGGGAACTGAGGCTCCAAAGAAGGGGCCAAAAAGGTCACATTTGGTTTGTGACCATATTTGGGGCTCTACAACATCCACATGAAAGCTCAGAAAAGTGTGAGATTGTTGTCAGAAATGGTCATTCTCTCAAATATTCAGGTTCAGCAGTTAGTTTGTAAATATCTGCTTGGAGTAAATAGATCTTGGACCTCAAAAATTGAAAAAAAAAAAATTGAGCGGCAAACAAATGTGAGATTTTGGGGTCCCACAGCGCCCCCCTTAATAAAGATATCCAATGTTTGACAGCAGATTCAGAATCTATGACCAAGACGCTACAATAATACAAAGTTTCAGCTTCCTAGCTCTATTTTTTATGAAGTTATGGTCTCCTAAACATGCTTATAAATTAAGGCTTCAGGAAAAGTGAGCATGGCCCCAAAATTTCAACGGGCCATAACTCAGGAACGACTCAAGGGATTGAGTTTTGGGGATTTTTTGAAACTTTTTCAGCCAAATCTGAGATGGCTCATAGGGGAGGATGGCTGATTTTATACAGACTGACCCAGAGGCACATTGGCCTCCTTCTAACTCTCGCTCCAATTGGCTTTACATTGAACAACAAATCATTTACAAAATGAAAAGCTGAAAAAAAAAAAAGTTGACAAAATAGTGGGTATTACCTTTACCTTTGTCCACTATGATCCGAGGCATCTCCCGTTTGGCCGGAGACGAGCAGCGGATCCTGTTTCCCTCCACGAGTCCGTTCATCTCAGTCAGGTCCTCAAAGGTGCAGTTGACTCCAGCAGAGAGGTCCGGGACGTTATGGGCCTCCAGAACCAACTGTAGAAACACATACATGCAGGAGACATGGTAAATACAAAAACTTTCACAAAATGAATGTCTTGAACACAGCTGTAGCACACATTTAAGACCTGGGAGTTGAACCTCCAACCATTTGTTGATGTGTTGAAATGTGGAAATTCATTGCAACCAATTACACACACACCATATAAAAATTAGGACTAAACAGAGACTAAACTCATAAAAATGTGAATACACCATAAAAGAATATATATGTGTACTAAAACTAGTATGGATATAGGGTGCGTTTACATTTGCATGACCTTCACTGCAAAATTGGGACTAAACTGGGACTAAACCTGGAATTAAAACAAGAGTAGCAGATCTAAAATAGAACTATAACAGGACCAAACCAAAGAAATCTATCTTTGTATAACTGTAAAACAAATGTAAAAAGTTAGTATTTCTTTCAAGTCCAGTTTTAGAGACAAGGTTGGAAGAGACATCTGTTAAACTGGGACTAAACCAGGAACAAAAAAACAAACAAAAAAAACAGACCCAAACTAAACTGGGAGTAGAACAGGAGCAAACCAAAGAAATCTACATTGTAACTGATGTGGTAAGTTAGCATTTGTTCCAAGTCTAGTTTTAGAGACAAGAGACGTCTGATAAACTGGGACTAAACCAGAACAAAACTAGAACCGTAATAAAACTAGGGGTGTCAAATTATCGCGTTAATTGCGATTAATTAATTACAGTCATATTTAGCGCGTTATGTTTTTTAATCGCGTTAATCTCATTTTTAATCTCTAACTTTAGTGTTTCTGTATGTGAGTTGCTTTATTATAAAACCACGTTTCCTTCCGTAGTTACTGCGCGGACACTGACGTGCTCCCGCGAGCCGCGTGTGGATCGTGTTTTCTCGCGTACGCGGCGTAAACCGCGCTTCCTCCTGTGCGCCTTTAAACCAGAACTAACACCAAGACTAAAACCAGGACTAAACCCGGACTAAACCCGGACTAAACCAGGACTAAACCAGAACTAAAACCAGAACTAAAACCAGGTCTAAACCAGGTCTAAACCAGGACTAAACCAGGACTAAACCAGGACTAAACCAGAACTAACACCAGGACTAAAACCAGGATTAATCCATTCCAGGACTAAACTAGGACTAAAGTAGGTCTAAACCAGGACTAAAACCAGTGATCTCATATATAAAGCATTTCTCTATCAATAATATTTTTAATCTGGTTAAGGAAAGACTGGACTTTTTATTGTCTTTAAGTAGACAAAGGTTATTATGTTCAGATTTCCTCGTCTTTGCTACTTTACAACAAACAGTTTCTTATTCATGGAGACTTGGGCTCAACAGCCAATTTGGGGAGATTTGTTAAACAATAAATGACTTTATAAAGTCACTTTTTAAAATCTATATCAGTCTTTTGATCTGCCACAATAATGTAATAATGAATTTAAATGAAAATACCTCAAATTGAAGGCTTTTCTCAGCAATTTTTAGGTGAGATTAAAATGAGATTAATTAGATTAATTAATTACAGATCATAATTAATTAATCTCTCAATTTTTTTAATCGCATGACAGCACTAAATAAAACTAAACCAAAGACATCTCTCGACACTGAAACTGATCTAATAAGTTTGCATTTCTTTCAAGTCTAGTTTTAGTGATGTGGTTGGAAGAGACATTTGTTGAAACGAGACTAAACAAAGAACAAAAACAAAAGAAGACCAGAACAAAACTGGGACTAGAACGGGACCAAACCAAAGAAATCTACACTGAAACTGAAGTAATAAGTTAGTATTTCTTCCAAGTCTAGTTTTAGAGACGTGGTTGGAAGAGACATTTGTTAAACTGGGACTAAACGGGGGAACTAAAGCAAGACGCAAAACCAAGACTAGCCCAGAACTAAACTAGAATTAAAACAGGACAAAACCAAAGAAATCCACATTGAAGTAATAAGTTAGCATTTCTTCCAAGTCTAGTTGTTGTCTAGTTGAGATATCTGTTAAACTGGGACTAAATCAGGAACCAAACCAAGACTAGACCAGAACTAAACTAGAACAGGACCAAACCAAAGAAATCTACATTTATAAGACCTTAAAATTGATGTGATAAGTTCGATAAGTTTCTTTCACTTCCAGTTTTAACGATGTCGTTGTAAGAGACGTCTGCTAAACTGTGACTAAACCCAAGAAGCAAAACCACGACTTGCCTAAAACCTACATTTGTACAATTGTAAAATAGATGAAATAAGTGAGTATTTCTTTCAAGTTCAGTTTGAGCGAAGCGGTTGTGAGAGACGTCTGCTGGTGCGCCGCGAGGAGAGCCATCTGGACAGTGGTCAGTGTCCAAGCACAGCCCAGGGACGCATAGAGCACGAGTCGACGGCCTCAGATTCCTCCTTTACGAGATTAAAACATCTCCGCTCTCAATGCAGATGGACACTAAGATCAAGTAGTGACACTTTTACAGCCCGTCGAGCTATTTCTAAAGCCATCAATTCACTCTATGGGTTTATTATAGTGAGCGAATGTTCAGACTTGGAGACTTTAGGTGGGCACTAAAAACTATAATGGAAAATGAGAATGGGTAAAAGATGGGGTTTAAGACTCATTCAGTTTTAATATACAGGAGTTTTGTTTAGTTTTTTATTAGGAAAGCAAACCTAAAACTGTAAAAAGCTGAAATAATGCATGTTGATATGAAATAAATAAAAGCTATAATGCTTATTTTTCACTAATTAAACATAATTTTATGGGTAATCGCGTCTAATTGATTTGAAAGTTTTAGTGGCAAGTTTTAAAACCATACTACGGAACATTGTCCATGGATACTGATACGTTTAATGTCCTTCTTCGCAAGGTTTTAGCTAAAGGAACAACATTTCCATGAAAAGAAAAAGGAGGAAGCTCAACTTCAGGTCAAAGAAGAGTCAGGTTTGTGGAGATGTGAGTCCAAAACCATTCTTTTATTTTAGTCAATTTTTTCACAAATGTTACATATTGTGGCTTTAAGGCTAACGAAGATGTAGTTATTATGAAATGGGACCTATATATTTTGTGTAAAGGTCCTATATCCTCCTGACTACCAGAGGAAAAAATGTATTCCAATTTAAATTTTTTTTAGTTTCCCCAGTTATTTAGAAGACAGTGACTATACTGAAAACTTTTTTTTTCTTTTTCAAGTTTTTATTTGAAAAATACAGCATGTCCACTATAGCGGACATCAGAACTTTATTGATGTACAAATTTAACAATTTCCATAGAATTCAATTCCATAGAGAGTAACTGAACTCAGGATTTATGTCCCTCAACAACCTCAATACAGATGTGTAGTGCATTTATTTTGGAACATTGCACTTTGAACTTTTTCTGGTTTACTTTGTGTGATATTTGAGGAAGCAATTCCCCTTTTTTGAAAGACACAGAAAGACTTGGCACTTAGTGCACATCACATAGGTTTTGCTGTTACAGCCAGATCTACGACACCTTGATGCATGTGGTTCATCCACCATTTTTGCGAGATGTAGCGCTCCATAGTGTCTTTGAAGCCCAATACATTTGAATGTTTGGATAACCCAAACAGGCTAAGTAAATGGAGCACCCAAAGAAAGTCTTCAACTCTCCAGGGGTAGTGTTTAGTGATGTTCCAGAATGAAGGACTTCACGTTGGTTTGTGCACATCAATGTACTGTTCAAAATAACAAAGTGGGGTCCAGTTTTGGCATGTTGTGGCATCACTGCTTAGAATAATTGGAAGATGATCCAGTTGGGGGTTAAATCTTAAGGAAAACAATAAAAAATGTCAGTTTTTTCTTTTTAAAGGTGAAAGATTGTTATAGTAAACTATTACAAAATTGAATTATTCTGAATAGTTTTTTTTGCAAAATGATTTGAATGAACTAAATATATAAAATACATTGTAAAATACATAATACTAACGCAAAATTGACTCTTCGGAGCTTTAAGCCAGGGGTCATAAAACTTTTCTCTCGGGGCCACATTATCGCTCCTGACTGTGATGGTCAGCCGTATAACTAAATTGTACGACCCTGACGACGTAGATTATATTCTTTGAAAACCGCCACACTTTCTTTACATATCAGACAAACTGCACAATCATTACACTGAACAAAAAAATAATCGGTCGTCCACTGTTCTTTGAAAACTCCGCACTCTCTGTCAAGTTTTTATACTTTAACAGGAGTCATTTTTCTGTCCTTAACTGTACTACAGAACTCTGCATTTACTGTTTGATAAATACTTGCATAAATATAATTACTTGCATATAAATATACAATTTTAATTGACAAAAAAAACAACAGAAAACAAGATGCAGGCGTGTTATTATTTGTCAAAACGTAATTTAAAAAAATAGGCCATGACAACTTTAGAGGATTGCCTCATGGGGCCAGTTCCAGTGGTGGGGGGACAGAGGGGCTGGGGGACCGGTCAAAGGGGAGTGGAGGGCCAGAGTCAGCCCGCAGGCCCCTGCTTTAAGCCCAGACCCCGTTAGAAGGTTGTTACGTCATCACAAACAGACCTGGAGTTGTGTTTCGTTTCATTCACACATGTCCGATTAAACCTTCATTTTTAGTCCGTCTACATCTGCAAATCTCAAAATGCTCCGTTCCACCTTGTGATGTCATGGAGCGGTAGTTTTCAAGTTAAAATACAACTTTTACTTTTAGTTCAGGAGAGATCTGCATTTCCAGGGCTTAAATTATCCAAATTATTCTAGTGAAGGTGTACAGAGTGTTTTTCTGTTTGAGAGAAGAACTCAACCTAAATATCCAAGGTTTCTGCGTTAAACATGTGTGAATGAAACAAAACACAACTCCAGGTCTGTTTGTGATGAGGAAACGACATTATAACTGATCAGAAAATAGGATAATATGGGCCCTTTAACAACCCAAACCTGCAAACTGCACTTTCCCATGTATAACTATCCAGCAAAACCTAATCAGAGAAAGAGACTTCATTGAAAAACATAGGGTAGGTTTCAGTATATACAGAGAT